AAGGATATGAATCAACTTTTTTAATTGACCCACCCTAGTATGTATGTATATCGAAAAATTTGTCGCTGGTGATATCGATTATTACGTCAATAACTATATCGATAATGGTATTGATAGATGTATCTAAATCGAGTTCATTACCATATTTAGTATGCTGGAAATCGTGAGTAATAATAGATAATATTTTGACTCTTATACTTTTGCTTAGTGTTTGGTCGAGCCCGTTCTCCAATTTGTGGTGAGCGTCCTGATGTTATAACCATATATGGTTTTACGGTAAAGAAATACACTTGGAGTTTTGCCATCGCCTTCCGAAGTGCGACCGCTGTTAGAAAATTGGTTTTCTAATTTAAACGTAGCTCGGACCAATGACTGAACCTAGGTCTTACGGAGTGGTAGTATGTACCTCCAACCACTAAGCTATAGCGACTACGGAAAACGTGAATATACCAAGTGAACCTTTGAAATATTTGTTTGCCATTCTTTGTATTAAATTCATTTATTAGCAATGGAAGTGTCAGTCAGAAGAATTCTGAAATTCCAATAAGTAGCACTCTATGGACTGTGTGGGCTCGAAAAAAATTATCAGAAGATCGACATATGTATGTATAACTATATCGATAACTATTTTGTACGTTGATAGTGGCATCGATTATAATAACATACGTAACGTTAAATATGTTAAAATACTGGAATTAAATAAAAATAATAGGTCTCTGTTTGGAGCAACAATTCCATAATCTTGACCACCGCGCGACAGTTTGATTTCATTTGTGATAATTGCATTTTAATATAATATTTGTATTTAATGGATCTCAAGTACGGTTCATTGCAAAACAAATTAAAACTTTACTCTCAAATTATTTTTCTTCGCAAACAACAACAAAATGCCTACTTTTGAAACTTTTTCTTTGCATTATCTAAACAACTTCTACTACCTGAGATTAAAAACAGAAGAAAACTCAAATGAAGAAGAAAGAAAATCATAAACAATTCGTGGAAATTCGGTGGCAAACAATTATTTGGAATATCGTTTGAATGCAATTAGAAGACAATTTGCAAAACTTAATCAGAACAGGAAAATTATTTCAACAGAAATAAATTCTCTTGGTGTGAAAATTCTAAAATAAATGACTTAAATGATGCCATCGAAAAACTAAATAGTGTAAGAATAAAAGTGCAAAATAAATAGCAGCACTGACTGAATAGGACAACCGGGAAAGTTGAAGCCAAGCTAAGGCAACGAACCATTAGTTGATGGCACAGTAGAGTCAAAGCAGGAAGTAAAAAGTTAAAAGCAAAGCAAGCATTTCGCGTTTCCTGCCACTTAACGGAACGTTAGAGTGCAATTCGCGAATATGCGTTTGACTTGGCTGCAACCAAACTACCCAAAAAACATTTAGGTTAGAGGACGATTAGATATTGATTCGAATTCCAATGTGTTTCTCTAAGGTAGAAGATTAGGTGATGATTAGAGAAATTGGCGAGAATTGTAGCTTGTTCTACAAAAATGGAACTTAGTTCTCAGCTATCAAGACAGAGGTTAGATCGTATCCTAACGTATGAATTCTAATTGGCTTCTAATGTCTAGTGTTTTTCTAATAATTCTCTAATCGAATTCTAACAGTATTGGCACTGCAAATATTTCACAATATATGCATAAATTTGTTTCCTAATATTTTACCGCAAATGTTTTATAAAAATATGGTTCATTCTACAACAAAAAACATTAAAATATAATTTCTAAACTTTGTGAAAAACTACCGAAAATTCAGCATATTTTCAACTTTTTTATCAGATTTTTTAGAATTTTTGAGTTTGCAGTAAATTCAAGTAAAACTACTGCAAGCTCGGAGTTAGTCAAAAATCGTATTGATTTTTTGAGAAATTTTTTTTATTGAAGATGTTTTGCATTTTTTCCATATAAAGTATTTGCGAAAAAAAATTTTGTGTGGAAGAGACTGCGTGAAAAAAATTGCCAAAAATCAACGGTAATTCCTAGCTACTTAAACCTTGTACTTTATTAAAATAAAATAAATTGGGCTGCAAATCTGCATACTTAAAAAAAAAAATCTGATTAAAAAGTTGAAAATTTGCATAATAATTTGCTGAATTTTCGCGAGATTTGCACAAAGTTTAGGATTTATATTTTTATGTTTTTTGTTGTGTGGAATGTACCATATTTTTATAAAAAATTGGCGGAATAATATTAGAAAGAAGTTGTTGCATATACTGTGAAAAATTTGATGTGCCAATACTTTTTGCCGGCACTGTAGTTCTATATACTCTGATTTTCGATTCGATTCACTACATTAGAATTCAAATGTAAAATCAAAATATTCCTTTAACGTTAGAGACTCTGTGTTTGCTGGGTACGCGATGATGCTCCTCCACTCACCTGTAGTTGAATATCAAATTGAGAAACGCCATTAACAGTCCAATTACGTTGAGTATTAATTTAAACTTTTCATAGTCATCTTTGTAGCGAACTTTGTCGTTTCTGTTCAGAATTGATACGTTGACATCGCCGAGTATGATCTGGAAGGGAAGAACATTGAGGCAAGAAATTAATAAAATTAATGCATAGGTAAAAGATATATGTAACTTATACGAAGTTGGGAAATATGAAAGAATGAATGTATGTAGTAGGTTCTGATTAATATTGGATTAGGGTTAAAAATGAAAAAGAGAGGACAGAAGAAGTGCCTTGAGAAAGTACTGAATGGTACGCGTAGAATAAAAGTTTTGCGAGCAAAAGGAAAAAAGAAGAACTTTTATGTAAATACACATAATATGCACATATTATGTACGTACACATTTATGTGGTAGGTAATGAAAAATGTCTGAAAAAAACTGAAGAAGAACTAAGCCAGAAGCAGTGACTTTGAAACTACCGAATTCTATGTGTGTAAATATGTAGTACTGTACCAGCGGTCAGCCAGCCAGCCCACGAAAAACTTTGGAAATCTTTAAATATATCATAGAAAAAGCACAATATAAATAAATAAAAAAAGAAACCAGTACTAAAAGGTGTGGAAGAAGGATATACTACCATCGACCGATTTGTCAAACTGCAATCGAATGCTCATCGAACACTTAGCAGATACGGAAGGATTCCAAAGCAAACAAATTGTTGAGATTTGCATTGCAAATTGTTTGCTGACACCAGCTAAACAATCAATGGATAATAGCTATGAACGACAGAGCGTGACTCAAAAATCAAATGTTGTTGAGCTATATCTATACCAACAACAATCGAAATGCAAAAAAGGCAAAGTGCGAATGATGCAAAGGAATATAAAAAAATTAAAATGGACAGTGCTTAGTTTCATAAATAACCAGAAAAGGTCAGCGGAAGTTAAAAGAAACGAAGAAGATAACGAAAACAAAACAATTATAAAAAGAAGACACCGAGTGAATTTAACGCAAACAAAATAACAAAAGCGGAATAGCATTCGAAAAGTGCAATATATGTATGTATACTAGGGAGGTCCAAAAATGTATGTGAGAAAATAAAGTAGGAATTTTTATGCTCTCACCCCCTAGGATTGTTCTATAGCGAAAAAAATATATGTAACCATACTTTTTTATTTTGAAATCAAAAAATATTTAGAGGTCGCTGAAAGCGCCCGAAGTTTTCCATGTATTTTATATGGTATGGAATAGTTAAAAATCAATATTTTTCTAGCAGAAAACTCTGTTTATCTGCAGGAGATTCCCAATAATAATACCCAATTGGGGCGACCAATAAAAATTCGTTAGTATTAAAAGAAATGGTTAAATAAAGAATTGGGTATTATTATTGAAAGTCTCCTGAAAAGAACCAGAGTTTTCTGATCGCGAAATATTGACTTTCAAGAATTCGATACCATTTCTATGAAAAAATTTATTTTTCCTATTTAAAAATACATGGAAAATTATGAGGGCTTTGAGCGACCTCTAAATATTTTTTGATTTCAAAATAAAAAAGGAGGGGTATACTTTTTTCGAAATAGAACAATCCCAGGGGGTTAGAGAATTACAATTCGGCCTTTACTGTTTTTGGACCACCTTAATGTACACCATTTGATTTTGTTTTATACACGAGCGCACTTCTGCATAAGGGTATTATAATTTTGTTCACATAACGGTTGCTTGTACCAGCCTAAAGGAATGCTTTAGGAAGAAATACGTTTATAACAAATTTTTGGTAAATGGGCGTGACACCGCCCACTTATGACATATCTGTATATCGGTAACCGTTCCATGAATTTGTATCAAACTCGGAACATTTATTGTACTTGACACATAAAAGCAAGACGTTGAAAATTTTTGAAATCGGATTGAAATTACGCCCACTTTTCATACAACGATAAATTTCAGAAATGCTGAAACTTCAATATTTCGAAATTTAAGGATGCTAAGTTACTCAAAGTTGATACTTACAACAATCCCTTAAAAAGAAATAAACTTATTATGGAATTTTGGAAAGTGGGCGTGATGCCGCCCACATATCACTATATAAGTTTATCTCATTAAATGTAACTGAACATACTATCGCAGATATTTGAAATAGGGGTGAAACCACCCCAGCACACCATGTAACGGTAGTTCTCGGAAATGTGAAAAAACTATATTGAATACTTGCGCCGGGTATATAACGTTCGGCTTCGTACGAACTTAGACTTTTTTACTTGTTTCAAAGCATTTTAAAATTGTTAAATTTTCAAGAAACAGTACTATAAAGAAAAATTTTTGATAATTTTGACATTTTAAATTTTTAAGGACGCTTATATGTATATGGTCCTGTGCAATAACGGCACAATTCTAAATTCCAAAAATGAAAACTGTTACTGCTTCTAAGTGGCTTTTTTCTCTAATCCGTTTCCATCCCTCACTAAAGTCAGCAGTAAGGATTGCTAAACTAAGTACTAAAGATTAGACATGGATTCGACAAAGATTAGAGACATGAGCCACTTAACAGTAGTAAGGGGTTTTAATTTTTGAATTTTGAATGACGTTTTCTTTTCTCGAACAAAATGCCACTTTCTTATATGGCAACATTATCAGAGTGCAACATTTTAAAGAAAGAGCACGCAATATGCATGTAGGGATGCTGAGAAAAGAACATGAAAGCTTGGCCGCCCTGGCGCAGGGCAGAATAAATGCAACATTATTTTGAGAAAATAAAACGCTACAAAATAATTATCCGTCAAATTAATAAAAAAAGGTGTGCTTCATAAATAGAAAACTTTTATCGAAATCTAATATACATACATACTACATCCGTTAATACTATTTTGAAACCATTTTTCAATAATAACTTAAAATTTTATTGTTGGAGCTGCATACTACCAAACAAAGATGAACTTGTCTCTTTGCGGCCCTGTGAGCTCAATATACTACCGAAGCAAAAGTATGTAAACACTTTCACTGCACGTAGATATAACCTTAATATAGCGACAAAATAACGCTTGATATCGATATGGTTTAAGATCGAAATCAATTTGCGATTTTATCGCATGTATATGGTGCCGGAAATTATTCTTTTTTATATTTTTATATATGTACAGTATCGGTCATATCTATAGCACGCCATTTCAAAGTGATATTGTGTGCCACTTATGTTTATTTATTAATTTTTAAGAATTTTCAATTAAAATATAGTTCATTCTCAGACAAATTCGATACAAACCCAAGCTTAATAATTTGTAGAAAGCTACAAAAAAGTGCAACAAATTTTCACATAAATTTCAAACTTTTTTCTCGGAAGTGTTAGAATTTTTTTGAGTACACAGTTTTTTAGCCCCTTCAATTTTAGTCTGATAATGTGCAAATTTGAAGTGGCTACGAATTACCGTTTATTTTTTAGAATTTTTTTTGTCGCATTGGCTTCCATATAATGAATAAACTCAATTTATTTGTATATGGAAGAAATCCGCAACACCTTTGGCGAAAAAAATTCTAAAAAATCAACGGTAACTTTTAGCCACTTGAAACTTGCACATTATCAGACTAAAATTGAAGGGGCTAAAAAACTGTGTACTCAAAAAAATTCTTACACTTCCGCGAAAAAAGTTTGAAATTTAGGTGAAAATTTGTTGCACTTTTTTGTAGTTTTCTACAAATTGTTACACTTGGGTTTATATGGGGTTTGTCTGAGAATGAACTGTATTTTAATTCTTAAAAGTAAATAAATAAACATAAGTGGCACACAATATCACTTTGAAATGGCGTGCTATAGATATGACCGATACTGTATATGTATATTTCTTATATCTTTACTAATTTTTTTTTCGCACTCGTATTAATTAATTTATTTACACATTTAATAAATAATATTATTTATAAAAACTCTTATACATACATATTTTCTATTGAAATTGTTTTCAAATATCCACCTCTGTGTATATTCAACTTACCACAACCAAACCAACAAATCGCAAAAAAAAGTTGGAGATGTTTGGAAAATTGTTATTTCACAAACTAGTTTTTTTTTTTAATTTCATTACATGTTTTTAGTAAAAAAAATTTTAAAATCTTATAAAACGATCTTCAAAAGTAAAATTTTAAAATTCCGCTGCCCAAGGATTCGAGCATTGAATCTCTCGCCAGATTTTGAGATAAAAGCTGGCAAAGAAGCTTTTTTTGTAAGACCTTTGTACCAGAATTGTTCGAACAATCTTGCCCTGTTAGACACCCATGTTTTGAAGCTCAATAAGAAAATTGTCAAGATTTCTTTTGCATTCTCGGTCTCACTTATTTTCTAGCAATCCCGTTATCATGAGGAAATACATCTTTTCCATATAATTCAATCTGGCGTAAAATGTCGTGTCTTTAAGGCGCATAATAAAAGTAGTTAAAGGGTTAAAAATTCGTATAAAAAATTTCCTTCCAATTTCTTTTATAGATCTTTGAAGACAAGTTATCGTTTTCCATTCGATTTAAATACTGTTCGATGATCTCATGGCTGCTTACATGCCAACCTTGCTCAACCACTCCCATTTTTACAATCATGTTTTTCGCGATTGGTCACCAGAAGTGCATCTTTAATAATAAACGAAAGCAAGCGAGCGTAATATCCTTGGATGGCTTTTTTTGATGACCTTTAAGAATATAAATTTTCCTTTTTCCTTCCCTTTTTGTTCTTTCAAACGGACGTTCTCTTTACTATCACTCATCTTCCAATAATTATTAAGTGCCTTTGACTAAAATAATGGAACTCAATACTTTTTACGAATTTTACACAATGCATGCAAAATTTTTTATTTAAACTTTTTTTCCGCATGTCTTTCATACAAATATAGTTCGTATAGCAACAAAAATATAAATAAAACTTCTTAGCTTGGTGCAAAACTGAGGAAAGTTAATAAATTTGCATAGAAATTTGCAATTTTCTAATCAAAATTTATTTTAGAAAATTTTTGAAAATGCATTTTTTTTTTTTGTATGGAAGAAAATTGCACCGTCCGCACAAAATGTTGCCAAAAAATCAACGCAATATTTTAGCAACTTCAAACTTGCAGTTTATTATACTAAAGTTTAACGAGCTACAAAATTGTTTTCTTCTAAACAATCTGATTAATAATGTGCAAATTTATTGAATTTTATTTTTGTTTTTTATTGTAGTATGAACTAGGATAGCCCTATTATTCGATCACAAGAACAAGTTGGTTAATCAGTTGTTCGGGTAATCAATTACTCGAGTAATCAAGTTTTTGATTACTTAATCGAGTTACTTAAAATACGATTACTCAAAAAATAATAATTTTGCTCATTAAATGAGTTTGATTTGGAAAATGCGTGCATATGAAAAAAAAACTGTTTAATTTTCATTTTTGAAAGCAGAAACGTTGTATTCAAAACATCAAGGGACTTCTATTTCCTTATACATATGTACGTAAAGAGTACTTTGAAAATTTGATTACTCATAATGTTCATTACCATAAAGCAAATTATTCAAATAGTTTAGTATTTAGGTAATCAAAATCGTGATTACTCTAGTAACTGAATTTTTGAATAATTGAAAAAAAAACAAAATAGCCGAAAGTATTAAAATAAAAAATGTTACACACATTATGCAAAATTATCTGTGCCAATACTTTTCTCCGGCAGTGTTTTTATGTATGCAGCTCTTAACGTCACCTTTCAAATGACGTTAAGCTTATTGTGATGCGATTAGTATTATCTAAGAAAAATCGTCTAAGCTTTTTGTGGCATAGCCCCTTAATCTTGTCTAGTTTAGCGCTTTAACCATCTAAGAGATTTTGGCCGAATGGCCAATTAATAGTTGTTGATAAATGTGTAAATCAAACATCCATTCAGAGGCAAGAAGTTCAGCTTGAGAGCCTCCCAAATCTATGTTTAATACAAGATCTTAATGTTCAACTACTCACCTTCAGATACAAGCCGGATTGGGCGGGTAGTGACTGTTCGATTTCATGAATCTGTGCTTTTCGCTTCAATGTGTTTTTATGTAATTCCTCCACTTTTTCCTTCTCTTCCGGCGTCTGAGGTGTTTTACATCTGAAATGAAGTGGAAAAAAAACGCAGAACGGATGCATTTAGAATTAATAAACTCACATTAAAGAGATTAGAATTATTTATTTTTAATTTCTTAATTGAGGAAATAATGCAAAATATGAATTTAAAAAATATATATATCAGAATGATGTCATAGTATAAATGGTTATTGCCATTAAAGTCAGCATAGATTGCAACGTGTTGACAATAATTTACAAAAGCGATGGAGCGTGTAATACAATATCAACGATGAAATCATATACGTACATACATACATACATGGTATATAAAACAATAAGAGGTACAGTTGACAGCAACTGGCAAAGGTTAACATTGGTAATTACATACATATAAACATTTAAGTGCGTTGTCGGACGCAATTATTTTAGTGTCACGTTTGCTGTAACACAAAATCTTATCTTTCGTGGGCAGTAAAATCATTGTTGGTTTTTGATGTTTTTTTAATGACCAAGCTAAACGTACTACATATAAAATTTAATGTTAACATGCAGAAATTGGGTAAAGTTCATTTTCTTTACTGATAGCATTTACCATTCGATAATAGATACGATAAGCGAAATTCGGTAAACCCAATGAATAAATTTTGCATTCGAATTTAAATTCGCTTGGTATACACATGGATGTCAATTCCAAATATGTATTTGTAAAGTGAGGGACCAAGAAATGGATGGGTTTTGTTTTTTTATTTTTTTTTGCTATACAACTTTTATTTTCATTTTAAAATATACATACATATATCAAACTTTAAATAAACTAATTTGTTCTGAAATTAGTTTTTCACACGTACATCGCGTGCTGCTTGTCAATACTTTCAATCGGCGGTATTGCATGCATGACATTCATTGTACTAATTACTGATAGGCATTCGTATTAATCAGCTCTAATTAAAATACAAACGTATAGTTGTTTTGATAACCCTAGATGACAGACGGTTTACTAGCGATTTAGTGTGAAGTCATTAATTTGTTATATTTCTGTGAACTTTGGATCGTGAAATTCGGGCGAAGCCGAATATTTAAAACCCGGCGCACGTATTAAATATAGTTTTTTTCACTTTTCCGAAAACTACCGTTACATGGTAAAGGGCCGATTCCAGCTCTCAAGCAAAATGGAAAAGAAATTTTGGCTTTTACAATCAACCATCAGTGAACAATAGCGTGGGCCGAAAATCCGATTTTTTAGAATTTTGATTAGTAATAGCAAAGATATGGCTCATTATGCTCTAAAACCAACCTGTGTGAAAGATGAAAATTTTTGGTCAAGGTCTTAGGCTCGCCCGAGTCTATCATCCTCCTCATCTCCGGGGCGAAATTTACTGCTATACTCTTTACCCTTTATGAACTAAGGAGATCAGACTCGAATTAGACGTTTAGTCGACGGCGCCGAAATTCCGCCAACTAACCACCCCCAAAATAATAGGAGTGACGTTTGGGAGCCTTTTCTCCTTTTCTGCGCACGCCTTAGCCATATATATGCAACAAACTACGAGTCAGGAATAAAGTGCTCAAGTTTCTAACAGAACGCAGCTCTACGTACTACTACAGGCTCTCATCTCATGTCGTCCGAGCATCACGCCCACGAAGAATGGCAGATGATGGCGGTGAAAGAACGCAGCATTATGCTAAAGAAGCTATTCCTCATCAGATGTCATCGTGGGAACCACCTCAACAATGTCGTATTTCCGAACTAGGGAATCTTGGAAACCTTTTTGAAACAGTTTTATTTATTTTGGGGCTCCATCAGAGGAATCAATATTCTCATTTTCGTTGTTGGTGTTTCCGACAGGGTAGGAGTGTGATGTGATGTGGAACGATTTTCCGTCATCCCTTGTCAATTTTGGTTTGGAGACAAACCGGTTTCGGCGTCGTTCGAACGAAAAATTACACTGAAGATGGCACAACGCCGAAACCGGTTTGTCTCCAAACCAAATTTGACAAGGGCTGACGGAGAATCAATATACCACTACACGGCACGAGGTACAATCAACCTCTCGAGCTGTGTGATACTAAAGGTGCTTTCACAAAGTGCGATTGCCTATCGAACGACTTCTTTCATTTAATTCTGTAGAAGAAAGGTAGAGCTACATAACCAAGTAAATCGCTTTGGAGCAGCTTTTTTATAAGAGTACAATTACAGGAGTATGCCGTTGATATCGACGCGATTGTCCTTAACAACTGCACTGTTTGCATTTGACTTCCAAATTACGATATGGGAGCGCTGCGAATAGGTCTGGATGTGAACGAGAACACGACTATTTCGCCTTCACTTTTTCATTAAGAAAATAGTCAGCGCATTCAAGTTTCGGCACTCACGTCACTCTTAAGACCCATAATTTCGAAAAAGTAGAGCACTCTGTTTATTCGGAGAATCCAACTGATGATCACCCATGTCAGCACTTTTTGTTCGGAATTTAAAAAAAAATTAGGTATGCAGTCTTAAAGCCCATTACATTTTTGTAAAATGAAGTGCAAATTTCGAGTGGCTACAAATCGCTATATTGAGCTCGCCGAAAATCGAATAAACGATTATAGGGTTCTTCATCAAGAAGAAAGTGAAGAAATACATTTGATTCACAAAAATCAGTACTGATTTCCCAAGCGCGCGAATTTCAGTTCAAACGACAACATATTAGAGATGCCAGTTCGAAATAAAAATAATCGATGCAGGAAGAAATCGTCAAAAAATAAATTGATCTCCCAAGATCGATTCATATAAATGGCCAAAAAACGCCTTTTATTTAATTTTCTTAAAAAAAAAAAAAAAAAAAAATACGGCCCTCTGACCAACACTGAAATTACAAATATTATTGTAAGTGCAAAACATGCATTGCTTTAACCGTTTCAGTTTATCCGAAAGTTATCAGGTAGCTAATATTACGACAACAATATGAACATTCAACAGAAACTTCATAAATTCTTAGCCCTACTTAGAAAAATGTTTTTTTTTTTTTGAATTTCGCTCAGCAAGAGGCTTTTTGGAATTATATTGTGCATTGATAAGAAATTAAAT